CAGAAAAACCTGGAAAAATCAGCTGAAGGACGCAAAGCGTACTACGACCAAAAGGCCTCTCACGAGGAACTCCAAGTGGGAGACAGGGTCTGGTACTACACGTTTGCACCCAAAACTGGGAGAAGAGAGTCCGGGACCGGAACTCTCGCCCGTAAGCTGATGCCCAGATGGACTGGACCCCATCTGATAATCGACAAACTGTCTCCAATTATCTACCAGATAAAAATCAGTAAAGGCCAAAAAGAGCCAACTGTTAAATGGGTACATCGAAACCAGGTTAAACAACACAAGGCGTGCAATAACTCCTCAGGAGACAAAGATCTCACAAAATCTGACCTCGTGGGAATAAGGGTCATCCAAGCAGAAGATAACTAATGGATAAGAAACTTAACCATAGTTTAAATTCACAGGACCTACCCTTGACCATTACGAAGCTAAGACCTATCTCTTTGTGTTTCCAAAGGACAATGATGATACCACTACTGGTAATCTTCACCCTCTTGGGTGCCACCCAAGAAAACAAAGCCCTCGTACATGCGGTAAATGAGTTAGCCCTTAAGGTTGAAGCGGATTACGCTGTCGCACACCTAATGGATAGGATTTTTGCTGACATGCTTAGAGATATCAGTTCGTCGGTAGATACACTAGCCACCGGTAGGATCCCACCGTATCTAGTCTCTCTACAGATGGTGAACGACATCCTCAGCTCCGCTACGCACGAAAAAGTTACGCAAACACAGGCACACCTGGCTTACACTCTCGGTAGCGCAATCCCAATCTACGTCAATCACAAAACATTTGAAATGGCGTTCATTATCAACCTACCGATAATTCCCTCAAACGGCATATATAGACTCAGGGACGTCGTAAATGTTGGCAATTGGCACGGCGAAAACCATGTTCAAATTGACACACCAAGGATGGTTGCGTACCACGACGACAACCCCTCAGTTTACCTAGCTCCAAACCTGCAGATGTGTGTTCTCACTCGGGAGATACACTATCTGTGCCCGAGCAAACCGTTTATGTGGAATAAAACCGCGGGCATATGCGGATTAACACCTATTCCGGAAAATTCTAAGTGCTCAACGACCGTAACGCCTCGACACCTGGCTAAAGATGCAAAAGCGGAAATAATTGGCTCTCGTTGGCTAGTGAACGCTCCTCAAAGAAAGGCGATCATAGCCTACGACCAACCCGGGGCAAATAGACCTTTGACGTTACCGGACAAAACGATGTGGATCAGTGTTCCCCAGGGAACAACCATACACATTGGTGATTTGACGCTCTATCACCTCGATCCGGAACAATGGGACGCGACTCTGGATGACTCAGAGTACCTGGGAAATATGTCTATAGACATAGATCCAGAGACTCTGGGAAGGATCCGTTTTGAAGGCACCCAAGTCGTCGACGTGGAACCAATAAACCGAGTTCTCAAGTCCCTCAGGTCCACAACTAAGAACCTGATCCAACCAATTACCTATGCGTGGTCAAGCGCGGACACATTAATCATAGCCCTGCTAATGACGATAACCCTCGTATTGTGTGGGATACTCGCATCCCTGTTCCGGGGCCAAACGTCACTCCGAGTCGACGTGGATCGCCATGCAGCGCACCTCGATATGATTATGCCTCGCGTAAGCGGGTCCGCAAAGAAGCCACTCACACGGGACAGCGTGACTGAAACTGACAACCAGGGTGAGGAGAAGCAGTGAAACGATGTTTCTAGATGCTTAGTCACTACTCTTGTCGGTGTTGAAACGTTGTTGACTTGGTTTTGGTTGTTTCTGTGGTAAGAATGTATCTTGTGTGTAAGTTAAGTTAGAGACTAAGAGGCCTTTGACCATGCCAACATGCAGTTCATTCATTAAATTGCAATCTTTGCGGAGTCAATGTATATTATTGCTACTTTAAGTACCATAATCTACATTGATCTCACAACGCTTAAGCCGAACCTACTCGAACAATTCTATTCGGGGGATAGCTAATTCTTTTTGATAAGTCTCGCCATAGACTTCCAAAACATTTATGGGGAAACCAAACACCCAATCTCAAGTCGTTCGTCTAAAAGACAACAGACATTTGAACCAAACTATATTTTGCCATGTAAAGCTAACTTAACCCAAGTTAGAAATGGAAAAGTAGTTTGGAACCCTTTTCTATAGGCTTAAACCCCTGTAGTTACCCCTTTTCAGCATGCTCCACCCCTTAACTGGTAGTCGTAGCTGTTCCCAACCATAATAGCTTACACACCAGGTGCATATAGTTTAAGGCCTTATGTAAAATCCCCTTCATAAGCCCACCTTAAACCACATAATTGCATGACACATTGAACCAGAACGGCACAGGCTGGACATCGCTGGAGACAACCTTCGCTGGAGGCGACCTGCAATCCTGACGTTGGTCTCCACTCTTCATCCAGTGGCCGCTTCTTCAGTTCAACCCAAGGGTACCCCTCTGTATGCTGATTAATCAACACTTCCAATCGTTGTGGATTTACCATTGTGGATTATATGACTTTTTCCAGTGGATTACAGACTCTGTTTTCAAGGGGTTAAAGCATTGCCACAATGGAATTATCGAGACGATATGGAATTATAATCAACACAATGGGATTACCAAGAACATTGTGGAATTACCTTGACTTTTGTTTTCCTTGCTGGATTACTTTTGACTTTTGTTTTCCTTGCTGGATTACTTTTGACTTTTGTTTCTTTGCTGGATTACATCAAGCTTCAAGGACAATCGAAGGCGTAAGTCCACGGTTGGAACTCATCTCCATGGACAGGCGATGATTTCCAAAGGGGGGACTGTAGTGGACTAGGCCCATGTCAAAAACTGAGTCTAAGGTCAAAACTCTTGACCTTAAGAACCTTGTGGGACAGGAACTGTCATTTCATTCATTTGAACTCAGAAATACAGGTTCACCCATCCTGAGACTTTCTTTCTTGAAGATTCAAGTGAAAAGAACACTCTCTTTTTATTATCATTACTATTTTACAAATGTTGATAATCAAAATGTCTTAGTTCAAACCATTTTAGATGTTGCAGTGAACTAATCAATTTTATTAACTGAGTAATGATTTTTATTCTCATGTCAAAGCGGTTACAGAGTAATTATGCCTTTTCTGATTTCTGCTTTTGAATGAGCAAGTGTAAGTGGTCCAAGGTTGGAGTCAAACGCAAAACAAGTTGTTATGTTAAAACTGTCATGTTTTTAGAATCCTCTCAGACGTAAATATAGATGTTTTGTGCACCTGTTTTTGAAACGCGACAAAACAAAACTCTCTCTGTCTGTGAGAACATTTCTGATCTGTTTCATAACAATTCTCGCTGTCTCTAACCTCTTACGTCACAAAACACACCCCGTCTGGTTGTTTCTGACCAATGAACAAATCCCAAAAGTGAACCGGGAAAGAGTCTTTAAAATGTCGGTACTTCCTGGTCTACTCAGTTCTGTGGGAGTTCTGTAAACTACACAAGTTCTGCTGAGTTCTGATGGAGTGCTGTTGGAGTTCCTGACATGACAACAAAGCTCTTCCGAGTTCCATGGGATTATAACATTTTCCACTGAGGTGAATATGTGTCGAACAGAGCCTCGCCATTACTTCGGACGAGTAACAGCATCCTACTGAGACGCTGAAAGGGTGCGTTAAACGGAATCTCACCTGAGACATCTCCAGGTAAAGGAGCCGATTTCATCACCTAAGTGTACTGTAAGGAAAAGCTGAAGAAAGCCGGAGAGTGTCGATTCTGGTGAACACTTAATTTCCCTCACACACCATCTTACTCCCTCTAAACTTCTTTCCATCTTTAAACTTTTCTATCAAGTAGAAATTCTTCCAGATATTTTAGAAATGTCTGTGTAAAATGCTCACCCACATTCATGTGGGTAAAAGATCATATTTGTACAGTTTTAT